GGTCTTTCCCAGAGCTGCTTACTTTTAATGAGACAAGCAGAAGACTGAACCTTTGGCACACATTGATTGTGTTCAAATTAATTTATCTCAGTGACAAGCTAATTGCATATATATAAAGCATCATCCCCCCCCCCCTTTGCATGACTTCCTTTACAATTAAGATCAGACTTCTTTACCTACTGGCCTGTTTTGTCCATCCTAGGGAACATTAATCTTTCCATACCTAGACTCCACAATTACCCTTTTTTTTCTCTTTCTCTTAAACACATACTTGTAAATAATATCTTTCTGGGGAAAAAATCATTTGAAAAATACCCCAATAACTTTGGTATAGCAAAATAGAAAGATAAATTTAATTTAAATGCCCTCAATAGGGACAAAAAGAATATTTCTTTAAAAATGAAAAAAATAGAAAGCACATTGAAAAAGAAGAATATTTGCAGTTCAGAACTTATTCTGTTAAAATGTGTAAAGAACAGCATTTTCTACATAGAAACCAATATTTCTATGAAGAAGTATTCATTCCTTCAGAGAAAATGTTTTCTATTGGGAAAACAGTGTAATTGGAGATTTATTCTCCCTAGAATTTGCATCTCCAGCAAAGGATCACCGCCTTGTCGGGGCGCTGGAGCTTGAGCACCTCAATGATGTCATGAGCGAAACCGTGAAGGGCCACCCAAGACGGGACGGTTGTGGCAGAGAGGTCAGACCAAGCGTGATCCCTGGGGAAGGCAATGGCAAACCACTTCAGTATCCTTGCCAAGAAAACTAAATGGACCAGTACAACCAGAGATATGTCGGTATGCCATTGGAAGATGGGACTCCCAGGTCGGAAGATGGCCAACATGCTACTGGGGAGGAGCAGAGGATAAGTTCAACTAGCCCCAGATGTGATGACGCAGCTAGCTCAAAGCCGAAAGGAAGGCTAGCGGCCGACGGTACTGGAGGTGAACGACGAATCCGATGCTCTAAAGATCAACACACCATAGGAACCTGGAATGTAAGATCTATGAGCCACGGCAAATTGGATGTTGTTATTGGTGAGATGTCAAGACTAAAGATAGACATTCTGGGGGTCAGCGAACTGAAATGGACTGGAATGGGCCACTTCACATCAGATGACCACCAGATCTACTACTGCGGACAAGAGGAACATCGAAGAAATGGAGTAGCCTTCATAATTAATAAGAAATTCGCTAAAGCGGTGCTTGGATACAACCCAAAAAAGGACAGAATGATCTCAATTCGAGTGCAAGGAAAGCCTTTCAACATTACAGTGATCCAAATATACGCCCCAACCACAGCTGCTGAAGAAGCAGAAGTAGATCAGTTCTATGAGGATCTGCAGGACCTACTGGATAATACACCAAACAGAGACATTATTTTCATTACAGGAGACTGGAATGCCAAGGTGGGAAGTCAAATGACAACTGGGATCACAGGCAAGCATGGTCTGGGAGAACAAAATGAAGCGGGACGCAGGCTGATAGAATTTTGCCAGGAAAACTCGCTGTGTATAACGAATACTCTCTTCCAACAACCTAAAAGACGGCTTTATACATGGACTTCACCAGATGGTCAACACCGAAATCAGATTGACTACATCCTTTGCAGCCAAAGGTGGCGGACATCCATCCAGTCGGTGAAAACAAGACCTGGGGCTGACTGTAGCTCAGATCACGAACTTCTTATTGCTCAATTTAGAATAACAACTAAAGAGATCAGGAAAATACACAGACCAGTTAGATATGATCTCACTAACATTCCTAGCGAATATACAGTGGAAGTGAAGAACAGATTTGAAGGACTAGATTTAGTAAACAGAGTCCCAGAAGAACTATGGACAGAAGTCCGCGACATTGTTCAGGAGGCGGCAACAGAGTACGTTCCAAAGAAAAAGAAAACCAAGAAGGCAAAATGGTTGTCTGCTGAGACACTGGAAGTAGCCCAAGAAAGAAGGAAAGCAAAAGAAAACAGTGATAGGGGGAGATATGCCAAATTAAGTGCCCAATTCTATGGGTTAGCCAGAAGAGATAAGGAACTACATATTTTTAAACAAGCAATGCATGGAAGTGGATGAAGACAATAGAATAGGAAGGACAAGAGACCTCTTCCAGAAAATTAGAAACATTGGAGATAAATTTCAGGCAAAAATTGGTATGATAAGAAACAAAGATGGCAGGGACCTAACAGAAGCTGAAGAGATCAAGAGAAGATGGCGAGACTATACAGAAGATCTGTATAGGAAGGATAATAATATCGAGAGTCTTGACGGTGTGGTGAATGAATTAGAACCAGACATCCTGAGGAGTGAGGTTGAATGGGCCTTAAGAAGCATTGCTAACAACAAGGCAGCAGGAGACGACGGGATCCCAGCTGAACTGTTTAAAATCTTAAAAGATGATGCTGTCAAGGTGATGCATGCCATTTGCCAGGAAATATGGAAAACACAAGAATGGCCATCAGACTGGAAAAAATCAACTTATATCCCCATACCAAAAAAAGGAAATGCGAAAGACTGCTCAAACTTCCGTACAGTGGCCCTTATTTCTCATGCCAGTAAGGTAATGCTCAAGATCCTGCAAGGAAGACTCCAGCAATACATGGAGCGAGAGTTGCCAGATGTTCAAGCTGGGTTTAGAAAAGGCAGATGAACGAGAGACCAGATTGCCAATATCCGCTGGATAATGGAGAAAGGCAGGGAGTTTCAGAAAAACATCTATTTTTGCTTCATCGACTATTCTAAAGCCTTTGACTGTGTGGATCATAATAAATTGTGGCAAGTTCTTGGTGGGATGGGCATACCAAGCCACCTTGTCTCTCTCCTGAGGAATCTGTACAAGGACCAAGTAGCAACAGTCAGAACTGACCATGGAACAACAGACTGGTTCAAGATTGGGAAAGGCGTACGGCAAGGCTGCATACTCTCACCCAACCTATTCAACTTGTATGCAGAACACATCATGCGATGTGCGGGGCTTGATGAATGCAAGGCTGGGGTGCAAATTGCTGGAAGAAACATTAACAACCTTAGATATGCAGATGACACCACTTTGATGGCCGAAAGCGAGGAGGAGCTGAGGAGCCTTCTAATCAAGGTGAAAGAAGAAAGCGCAAAAGCTGGGTTGCAGCTAAACGTCAAAAAAACCAAGATTATGGCAACAATGATTGACAACTGGAAAATAGAGGGAGAAACCGTGGAGGCCGTGACAGACTTTGTATTTCTAGGTGCAAAGATTACTGCAGATGCAGACTGTAGCCAGGAAATCAGAAGACGCTTACTTCTTGGGAGGAGAGCAATGTCCAGTCTCGATAAAATAGTGAAGAGTAGAGACATCACACTGGCAACAAAGATCCGCATAGTCAAAGCCATGGTATTCCCTGTAGTCACCTACGGATGTGAGAGCTGGACCTTAGGGAAGGCTGAGCGAAGGAAGATCGATGCTTTTGAGCTGTGGTGTTGGAGGAAAGTGCTGAGAGTGCCTTGGACTGCGAGAAGATCCAACCAGTCCATCCTCCAGGAAATAAAGCCCGACTGCTCACTGGAGGGAAAGATAATAGAGACAAAGTTGAAGTACTTTGGCCACATCATGAGGAGACAGGAAAGCCTAGAGAAGACAATTATGCTGGGGAAAGTGGAAGGCAAAAGGAAGAGGGGCCGACCAAGGGCAAGATGGATGGATGGCATCCTTGAAGTTACTGGACTGACCTTGAGGGAGCTGGGGGTGGTAACGGCCGACAGGGAGCTCTGGCGTGGGCTGGTCCATGAGGTCACGAAGAGTCGGAGACGACTGAACGAATGAACAACAACAAGAATTTGCATGTGATTGAATTTGCATAGAAGATAATCTATGTAGAAAGGACCAGGTGCTGCAAAAAAGAATTCATGCTGTTTCCTGTGCAGAAAATATTGTTTTCTGTGCAAAAATTTGACATGTGAATTTTGTGTAGGAAAACCCCCCAATTATAGCCTTTTCCCTCGGGCAATAAAACAAAATTATCTCTGCAGGAATGAATATTTTGGTGTTGAAACATTATTTTCCTCACATGAAATGCTCTTCCGTGTACAGAAAATGCTCTTTTCTGTACAAAACAACCATGTGAATTTTGTCCTGAATTGTGAATAGCCTTTGAACAGTGCATTATGTTGTTTTAAAACCTATTTGTAGTGGGGAGAACATTGCTGAAATTATTCATTGCAACCTTTGAGAAAATAAATAAATAATTATAACCTAGAAATACATGTAACAGTTTTTTAGGATCTGAAATGACATATTTTATGAGATTAAGGATGAAACTGAAGGAATGCATAACAAAAAGCTTTAAAATATTTCATTAATTTTATATTTACAGTTGGAGGGGTCCATTTTAATAAGAAACTTCACTTGATGAATTTTGATCCTTCACTTTATCTCTCTGTCAAACCTTCTTCAGAGGGTTGTTAGTAAAAAAAAAAAAAGTGCCAGTATGAGCTGCTTAAAGGGACAACCAACTGTAATGTAATAATAAATCAAATATTGATTTAAATCTGAAAGTTTAATTACATTTCTTATCCATCATATGTTCTTTAAAGATTTGAGTGTACATGATCATATAGAACTAGTAAAAATATAAAACTGCTGAAAAATATAGTTTAGAGCACAGTAACAAAATAAAATATCTTTCTCCAGTGATAATCCCGCATAGGTCCCTGTATTATTTTAATATATTATTTTATTTCAAGAATTTATAAATAGCATCTTTGTATACAATTGAACAGGGTGGTATATGCAAAGTCACACATTTCAGCCAAAGATTAGAAGAGCTTCTTGTGAGCTATCACACTGATTCCCATTTCACTTACTTGCTGCTGCATGGTGTGAGAAATAACTACTTATCTGAAGCAGCAAACAGCTCTGATAAGCTCCATCTATATCAGCCCTGTTTTTTGGTACTGTCACAGCAGGTATCCAATTGTAGCTTGTGAGACCAAAGGAAACAAAAATATTGATAATAGCTGCATTGTTCTTTTTATTTCTCTAATTTTTGCTGTCCTCCAGCCTCTCCCATAATACACAAAGTGGGGGTTTAAAATCTTTTGCTCTCCGATCATGATTTTATTCATTATCCCCACCTTGTAGCCATGTGTGGGGATAGAGCAGTATTTCTAAAAATTAATAAGTAAACCCTCTCATCCTGCATGGGCAGAGAATGAGTGCTCAATAATAGTTGGACACACACAAAGACAACTGTTTTTGAAAAGCCCAAATAATTCATTCAGAAGCATTGCTGTTTTGTCTTCATTAGCATACAAAGGAACCTTGCATTACATTTGTGACCAGCAAGAGACTGAAGTTTGTATCATACGTTTTCATAGTTCCAGTCTACTTCATCTGATGTATCAGATGCATCTGATGAAATATTGAATCTATGAAGGTTTATGCTACAAACATCTTTCTCTCTGTATATTATAGAATGAAATAATGTGCTGGAGGAGTCCATTTGCTCCCTTTGACAGCTCCCTCTTAGGTTTATCTGCAAGTGAAAAAATTAAATATGAAAAAATGAAAAAACAAAAGTAACTGACTTGTAAGTCAGCCCTATATCAGGGGGATGGTTGTTTGTGAAATCTTAACCCAACTCTCAAACTGTTCTTTCCCCACTTTGGCTCACTGTCTCCTTGCCAAGGGGTGGGTGCTCCCGGTGGTATTTTGCAGTCATGGCTGCATAAGCACAGCCATATACAGCAGCAGCCAACATCATGAGACACACAATCCCACAGATCACTCCAGTTATTATTACAGTGGCCAGTGCATGTCGCAAGCTCACAGGACGTGGCTTTGGCTTAGGTTCACAATGTGAGCGGCTGCCATCTCCTCCATATTCACTGGGGTGGCCATGCTTCAGGGAACTTCTGTGCTCAGAATAGTGATGGATATTGGCCTGTTGAACTTGAGAAACTGCAGGAGAGCAGATCCCATACAACTCATAAGGGATTCTGAGGACATCTTTTCCTCTCCGGTTTTCAGGTGAAGAACAGATTACAGCATCACTAATGCCTCCTGAAAAGAAAACATTTTATTAAATTCTTGGTACTTTTGAAAAATCTAAAGCTCCAAAATAATGGGAGAACTGATCCCCCCCCCCCGTAAATTACACATTACCTACTGTGCTGTGGAAACCCACTTGGTGAACTCTCAGCTCCAAAAAGCCCTGTGAGAGGTTCACTTTAGAGTCACCATAAGTTCTCTGTCCTGTTGTCCATTATATATAAAATCTGAAATTACATAATTAGAGCACTCTGCATTTTCAGCATGAAAACGGCATGGATGAAATGTGCCTTCAGCATAGAAAAAAACCTGTTTTTTTCTCCATATTGCTTATGCTCACTTGCTTAACGTGCCCTACTTGTGGTTTTCCCCTTTCATTATACAAAATATTCATTTTTTTCTTTTTAATTCTAAGTTTCAACACAGAAAGTAAAGTGTGTGTGTGCGTGTGTGTATGTATGTGTATAGATTGATTGACCAAGATTCAAATAGAGGACTGATTTTGATTAACAGAAAGGGTCTATTTGTTTGGTTTGTGTAAGTAAAAAAAGAGTGCCAAGAAAATATGCGAATACACAAGATATGCTGTCTCCAAATTGCATTGGAATTAATAATAATAATAATAATAATAATAATAATAATAATAATAATATTTTCCAGACTGCCCTCTCTCCTTGGAGGGACTCAAGGCAGTTTACACATAAAAGGGCAAACATTCAATGTCTTGAAATGGTTACAAACACATCAAAATAATACAGGATAACGGATAGTAACAGCAGAAAACTTACAAAAAAGGAATTAAGTATCAAAATAAAATAAAAACAGGAACAGTCCACTAAGAAATAACTTGATTTCACTTCATATTTAAAATGTCTGCAAAATAAATCCATATAAAGACTGGGGAAAAGAATAATTTGTCAATGTGTATACGAATGAGATAACTTTTGAAGCTATTGAGTTGGTATAACAAATAAGACACATTTAATTATTCATACATTGTGTTCTAAAAAAAAAAGAGAATCCCTGAAGATCCCTGCTTTGGACTCCACCAATACACACAAATAAGCAGCAGTTTATTTATTCTTTATTTATTTACTCTATTTGTATCCTGCCTTTCTTTATCCCAAAGGGGACTCAAGGCAGCTTTACATATGGCATCTATTCAATGCCTTTGGACAACAAACAGTTAGAATGCACTTAAGTTGAAAATTAAAATTGCAATTAAAATTAAATGCACATTAAAACATATAAAACATTGCATTCACTATTAAAATAATGTTATGAAGCTATTGTTGCTGTTGTTATTATTAATACCCCACTTTTCTCCAGTCTGTGACTTAAGGTGGCCTACACCAATTAATTGAAAGTCATTAAAATTGACAGGCTCAGGTAGACAGGCTTTAAAAATGTGAGTCATGTACAGTTTTATAGATCATAGCCAGTGGTTTGAATAGGGCCTTAGGGGCCTGTGTCCCACAATAAAAAGCAGAAATAACCTACCCACATTCCAAGTCCACTTTAAAGAGTAGCTCATCATAACTGCTATTCAGTATCAACACCATAAATGCATAAACAAACATCTCTGCTGGTCTCTCTCTAGGCATGTGCCCATTAATAAATTCAGCATTTGCCTGTGTCTTCCATTTAGCACTTACACATCAATTCCATGCCCAGTTCCATATTTTCTGAATTCTTTAATACAACAAAAAATGTCATTTTCTCTACATCAGACAGACAAAATTGTCCATCCTACAACAGTTGTACCTCTCTTCAGGCATAGAGCCCGCCGGATCCCAGCACATGACGTTGATCTACTTCTAGCAGGGCTCTGTGTTTCAAGAGAGGTCAAAGCATCACAAAAGGCAATGCTAGCAACATGGGAGAATTCCAGTGTTGAATAGAAAATAACAGGGGGAAGCCAGGTGGTGATACCCCCCCCCCCCCAGATGGAATGAGATGAGGGGCAAGGTGGGTGAGGCAAGGCACCAGGATTGGCCCACTACCCTGCAGATTTGGTACAGAGGCTTGTGAATCGCCCCACTGCCCCTCATCAATGTGATGAGGGCCTTCATTTTTTACATTAATGTATATTTTACATTATACACCTGGCCTGGAAACACACACCCTCACCAAAGTCTGTGTATTCAGAATTTTTCACTACTGGGATATGCACACTTGTATAGGGAGGGTTTTTCTCCCTGGACTCATTTTCAGCTGTCATCAAAGAGAGATGGTGGAACAGAAATGGTGTCCCATGAACAGCAGCAGAACTCAGTCAAGTGTGTCAAAACTTGAGTGAAAATGTACTCCTCATACATTCTTACCATACATCCCTTTGTTATCCAAACACTGCTTTGATCAGCCACACCACAGAACCACTCAATTATCCTAGCAACTTAGACCTATAGCAACTCACTGCAATCTGTGTTTACAGATTAAAGCTACACTTCTTCACTGACTTTAGTGTGTCTTGCTTCTTAATAAATGTGCCTAGAACTGAAGGTTCAAGCATCAGTCTTAAACATGCTAACTAGGGAGTTTACCTCTGAATAAACATTTTTAGGATTAAGCACAATGATAGATTGTTCTGTGGTCAATGCCCATTAATACTACTCTGAAACCATTCTAAATGTTAGAAATATGACAATAGTATCTCTAGGGTTTCCTTTCAATAGGATATGTCCTCATATGAATTGCTACTATCTGAATTATTTGTTACTCTAAGCAAAGGTAGTAGTTAATGCATCATTTATCTCTTTAGTTCGATTATTTACCTTTTTGCCAACATGCTTTCAGGAGTTTGACAAAATTTGATTAATTAATGTAGGATAAGTCTATCAATGGCTATTACTCAATGTAGCTTAACAAGACCTACATGTTTAGAGGAAGGATACCTCCATACAAAATACTAAAGAACTTACAGTAAGGTCTACATTTTCTTTAAAAAAATATGCATCATTCTTCTAATCTAGCTGGATGGTCTGGCTCACACTGTGTATCCAAGACAAACCTTCTGAGGTATTTCTGCAGTATGGCAGTAACTGAAACTGCTTCAGTTATGGCAGTAATTGAAACAGTAACTGCTATGAAAACTATGTTTGAAAGCAGGAAACACAAGATGAATCTGGAAGATGTTCTTTAATATAGGCTGTTTGCTCTTGTTCCCTTCCTGAGAGGAAGGAGTTGGTGATGAAATGCAGACACTTGAATGCAGCAGATTTTCTAGATCCATTTCATCTGGTTTTAGAATTGAATTTGTATTTGAAATGATATTTGCCAAGAAAAGTAGACAGGATGTGATTTGCTTGATTCTCTAGGTCCAGACCTCTCAGCATTGGTAATCTGCATTGGTTGAGTGTTGAAAGTACTGATGCAATAGTTTTGCTAGTCTTTAGGTAGTTTATTTAAGATTTATTGTACTATGTTTTAGCACTTATATTATAGAATTCCAGAAAGAATACATATATAAGTGTTATTATTATTATTATTATTAATTATTATTATTATTATTATTCATGTTATATAATATTTACATGAAACTATTGTGAGACAATTTATTTGCAAATGTTGACTAAGCTTCAACAAATATATAGATAACATTGATCTTTATCTTTTTCATGAAATCCAGGTGAGATAGTGAGAATTCCTAATTAGTCACTGGACACAGTAATGGGTTGACTAACAGCTAGAAAAACCAGAAAATGCAGTGATATTGTTGGTGCCTAGTTAAAGGTTATTTAAATTGCAGGTTCATGCCCTCCCTTCCATGAATGATGTGCTTTTCATTCCAGCCATGTGTCACAAGCCTAGACCCCATTTATAAATGGGAAGTTAACAAATGGTCCAAGCCACAGAATCCAGTTGAGAGACAACAGCAGAGAATAACATCAGAGAAGCCAATAGTCTGTTTCAAGTTCCAAAGCCAATTTCAAGAGAGTCCAGAATCAAGGGTTTATTCAAAAGTTCAAATGCCAGAGTCTGAAGAGATAGTCCACAGTTCAGAGATCACTAACAGTATGGGGTCACGATTCCAAAGGCTACAGTTGCTGCCAGCAACAACGTATCACACTTGATCACCTTATATGCTAGTGTCTCAAGTGTTGCTTATTTCTCTGCTAACCTAGAGGAGCAGTGAAGTTGAGCCTTCTCCCTTCATGGGTCCAAATGAGCTGGAGTACTTAACCCTTCTACTGCCTGCTCAGATGATCTTGCTTGTACTTGCTCAGCAGGCCAAGAAGTAAAAGTATTTTCCATAGACTCTTCTTCCAAGCTTGGTTGTGGAAACTACTGAGTACTGCTCAGCTCCAAATGTTAGCCCTTCAAGCAACATCTCCTCAGCCTCACTGTTAGAGCTATCCACAATACCATGTGGCTGAAGAGGTAACCAATAAAATGTATTTGTCTTTGAAGTGGCACAACACTTTTTTTTTTAACTTTTGGTCACCATACTAAAACAGGTACCATATTATATAAGTAAATATTTCCTGGGCATACGATACATATGAAATAATGAATTGTTACTTACCTCTATAGAGAAAACTTTCCAACCACAATTTAAGGCCAAATACTTCACAATTGCACTGCCAGAAATTACCTTTGAAAAGAACTACTTTCAGATTTGGAAGTGATTCCAATAGAAGTCTTTCTATTTTTTGGAGTTTATTATGCTTCAGAGATAATAAAGTTATGTGCCTTGTGTTATTTCCTAATGTTCCTGGCAGACTGAATATATTGTTAAATGATAAATCCAGTTCTTTTAGGCGTGGAAGGAAACTAAAGGTCTTGTTGTCTACATATCCAATATAGTTTTTAGTGAGGTTTAGAATCTGTAGGTTTTGCAGGTCTTTGAATGTGCCGGGCAATAAACCTGAGATGGAATTATTAGATAAATCCAGAATTTTTAGAGCTGATGTATCAGTGAAAGCATGTTGACTGATTTTCTGAATACGATTATTTGATAAAAGCAGTATGTGAGTTCCAACCGGTAAGTGTAAAGGGATTTCAGTAAGTCGTCGGTTCCGGCAATCCACTGTCCTTGAAAACTGGTGGCATAGGCATTTTGGAGGACAACCATTTGCCACATCTGCTAGTATGATGATACTTGAAATGAACAGCAGTGACCCTATACAATAAGAAAATAGTATTAGTGTTTGAGTAATACAAGCTATATCAACTCCTTAAAGTCTAACAAATGTATTATAGTGTAGGTTTCATGACTTGTACCCAGAGGCGGCCCTAGGTAATTTTCAACGGTAAGCAAACAGTATTTTGGCGCCCCCCTCCCCCAACAATTCACTGATATATATTTTCTGTTCGTCGTGGGAGTTCTGTGTGCCATATTTGGTTCAATTCCATCATTGGTGGAGTTCAGAATGCTCTTTGATTTTAGGTGAACTATACATCCCAGTAACTACAACTCGCATATGTCAAGGTCTATTTTCCCCCAAGAGCGCCTCAAGAGCGCCCCTGGGCAAAATTAACTATACTGCAAATGCTTACTTTGCGTAATGGGTCGAGCCGCCTCTGCTTGTACCCCACTTCATTGGATGAATGTAATGTTATCAACAGTTATAAATGTAGTATAAATAATTCAACTTCATAAATTGTCTGCCATTCCTTTCCTCCTAAGACTGTTACTAGCTCAAGACCACCCAATAGGTTTCCTGTGGCTGAGCAACAATTTGAACCTCAGTCTCCCAGAACCCTTGTCTAACACTCAAGTGTTTACATCACATTGGTTCTTTATTTATCCTAGCCATTCTCAAAACTTGGCTGATGACACATATATTCTGGAACTAAATAAGTCAATTATTTTAGAGTATGGTAAAATACTCCAGTCTGTTTCAAATCTTTGGTGATTGATTGGGACTTACTAATGAGTTGTAATCGGGATTGTCTTTCTAATCTCTCTCTTTTTAGTCTTTCTAATCTGTCTTGAAGGTTTTTTGCTCCACAATAGCTCTGTCAAGGGCACTAACAGATTGAGTGTCCTGGAGTCTTGAAATGTTTTTCCACTTTCAAAAATATAAAATTGCCAATTCTGTGTGATATTTATGTAAGTTTATTCTTTTGTATTGGGATTGGCCTGTAAGAACTTAAGATCAAGTTAGATTTTGGGATATTTATCCTGTGCAGAAAGGAGAAAAAGATTTCAAAGAGAAGATGGCAAAGAAATAAACCCTTTGTGTGATTGTGTTGATCCATTACTGGTGTTGCTAGAACAGATAGGAAAATAGAGTTGCCAGAATATTTCCATTTTTATCCTTTGTGTGTGCTAATAAGTAGTTGTTTATTGTGTGTGTTGGTAACCATAAACAAGTACAACGCTACCAGCTAGGATAGAGTGTGTCACTGTCCAGTTTGAATAGTCAATTTGTGTTTGATTCATTCCATGTTTGAATAGAGCATTAAATTACTATTATACCAAAGAAGCTGATAAGCACCTTTTGGGAGTGTTGTAGTTATGCATGGTAGAAGTTTGGACTATATGGCCCTTGTAACCCCTCCAAATTTAAGATTCTAGTATTTTAAGTGTACCCCACACCCTCTGACTGTCCCAATTTGGCACAAACAGTCTCAGTTAATCTTTTGTGGTGTCATATATTCAGCTACTTATAAACTCTCAGCTCTCTCTCCCCTTCCCACATTCCCCCTTTGTCTTCAGCATACTCCAACTGCTGCAGACTGAGTTCAGGATGCAAGAGTGGCTTGCATTTCATTAACTCAGCAGGGAGGAAAGGAGGGGGCATAATTCTTCCTTCCCAGTCTTCCCAAACAAAAACAAACTGCCTGAACCTACTACTAGCTTTTTTGTTTTTCTTCATTACTAAGATTTGTCATCTTGATCTGATGTTTCTTGCCCACTCATGCCCTGATTTTCATCTATGAAATGTTGGAGGTATGTTAAGTGAGATAGAACTACTTTCCATAAAGTTGTCAGCATGCAAGTATCTACTACCAAATTTACATCAACCATAAAAATATATAATAAATGAATTCATTTCATTTCAATCATATATTGAGAACATTTAGAGGACTCAACATTCTGTTGAATTTGGCAGCTAATATAATTCGAATTCTATATATTCAGTAATAATGTTTTGAACAAGCCTCTTTATAATGAATTTTCAGGCTCAAATACATTTTCAGGTATTTTTAATGAATGAAACCCATTGGCTGATGACCTCTGACTTGTAATAGCTGACTCCCTAAAAATGTCAAGTACACTGGCAATTTTTATGGAAAACATTTGATCTGTTGATCAATATGAACAGTCCCCTTTGTGTCAATAAGTCTTAATCAGCTTCTTGCATATCATGATGTCTTCAATCAGATTAATTGATTAGAACAGTATCAGTGAATACTGAACAGTCTGTGAGCTTTCCTGATTTCAAGTGCTCCCTAGTTTATTTTAGTTATTTCAGTGCCAATTTGAATTACGAGATAACAATAAAATTAACGGGCTAGAGTACAGGTAGACATACACATTTGTGTGACAGGGGTTTTGTGAATGGAGCAACTATGACATTTGTGTATCAAACTGGAAGATTAAAAGAATTCTTCACTTGTCTTAAAATATCTCCATTTCAACTTACTCACGTTGCTCCACAATACGGCACTCATAATTTTTATTACTGTTTTAGTAAGTCCCATTGACCATAATAGGAATTACCTCTGAGTAAAGTGCATAGGAGCCCACTTGTTCCTATTCTTGCACGTTATCCATTTGTGTTTTCTGACATACCAAATTTTTTATTTCAAGTAAAAGAAGTTGTCAGAATGGTCCATAGTTCCGCAAAACAAGGTTTTGCTGATTTTAAAATATTTTATAAAATAGCCCACATCCATGGACTCAATAGTTATGTACCAGGCAATCATCTTTAATAATGGCACATGCCTGGTGGACATGTGAAAAGTTAAGCAAAGGTTTTTTCCCTAAATGTTCCACAAAGGTGATCAGTAATATCAGGAATCTCTAAGCAGAAGCCTAATAGGAGCTTCAATCTTGTACACATTTTTTGAGGGAAGTTAGTCTCATTGAAAGCAGTGAGACTTCTTATTAAACATTCAAAGGATTGAACTTCAAGTCAAAATTCAAATGTCTAGTAAAATGGTAAAGTTACTGAATGCAAAACCAAAATTAGAATGGCAGATATTTACACAGATTTAAATTTATCACTCCAGCTACCAATTGTTACATGGGGCCATCAACTGTTTTTATCTGCACATCATTTCTTAAACTTAATTCAGTAATAATAGATGAACCGCCTCAATGAATAGTATTTTCAAATTTATATGAGAAAAGTGGAGGTGCTTCCTGTCCCACTTTGTCTAGTGTGGAACAGTTGGCCTCAACAAGAGGAGAGGAAGCAGATATGAGGAAGTTCATGGATTTGCTAAGATTTTAAGGCTATTTTTATGAGACAGATTCTCTTAACAAAAGGTAAAAATAAAAATAAATCTTACCTTTCATGATTGCTTTTAACATGCCCAGCTTGTAGAAAAATCCATTTAAGTTTTATGCGAAGCAGTAACACTCTCTGGCAAACTTACAGTGATTAGGACAACTGCTCAATATGTATCAATACAATGTCATCAAACTCTACCAAAAGGAAGCTTTCTAAATGCTCTTTTTCTGCCTTTGATCATGTCTCTTTTCACAATCCATTGACGGTTGCTGTGCTAACCACAGAGATTTCCTCTGCCTCTCTTCTTCAATCAGCAGGCCTTGCAGACTGTCTGTCAACCTGAGCTGGACAGCTGTAACATAGAAATCATGACCTAATAGCCTAGCCTTTTCGATTATTTAATCAACTTCAAATCCAAAGCACAAAAACAAAGCTGACTTTTCAAATCCCATGCAGTTCTTGTTTTCTCTGCTGGATTGTTGTTAGCCATGCTTTGTCAATCCTTGCAAAATCAGATGACTCCTAACTTGCGTTCCTGTCGTCCTTGTTTGTGATTGGAGGCAATGGGGTGTGTAATCTCAGTATGAAGAGGCCTTCATCTTGATTACATGGTTTTGACCGTGCACTTGTTTGCTGTTCTGGGGCTTATACTTTTGATTCCCCTGGGGATTAGCCGTGCTGACAGGATTTCACTCTATAGAGAAAACAATTTTTTGTGTTTCTCATTCTTTAAAAAACATAGATAGAAAAGAACTTCGAGCATTCAAAATAATGACTTCTTTTACTACAGGCAAAAAGAAACAGCCATATGGACTTCAGGTTTGTCTTTATGTTTTAGCTATTGCTATAGTGACTTTATGGCACGGCTGAACATATCTAACAATCCTTATACATTTTGCATATGAAGCATACATTGCCATGCAAAGAGAAGTGACAGTAAATTTATTCCCTGACCACTGAATAAGTGTCTGTCCTTCAGAAAAAGATGGGAGAAGACTAATGCAAACCTGCCAGAGATCATTTCTTCACTTGTGATGGGTTTTCTGCATTTTTGTGATGGAACTCAGAGCTGGAAACTGTCTTGGCTCACCAGATGGAGCCATTAGTTGTACTTGATGTACTATAGCTGTATACTGCCTTGATAACTAAATCCCATGGTTCAAATGTCTATTAAAGCAATGAAATCTTGTTGTCATATTTCCAGACTGGGTTCATTTATTTATTTATAGTCTAATGAAATCCTTGAGTGAATTTCATTAAAATAACCTCCAATCCAAATTAAAAGCAATAGATTTTAAATTTCAAATTATATTAAATTATTTTAAATCATATTAAATGGAAACATAATGAAAATGAGTAACAGAGAAACTGTCAGGGTGACTGCTGATTTAAAACTGAAAATAGTGTGCCTTATAGGAATTCTGGAGGAGCTTGATATTTAAATTTATCTCTCCTAATTCACAAGGCATTCCATTAATAAAATGAACATTACACAGTCCCGATTTATTTCTAGAACAGATCCTATACATCTAAAGTGTAATCTTACTCTGGTTCGTGTACCATATTTACAATTGAAAGAGCTTAGCCATAAAATCTGAATCTTTGGAAAGGTAGGCAGGGACTGAATGATCTTTTCAGCATGTCTTAGATTACTACAGAACAGACCTTTTCTCGTGATCTACCTGAGATATTCCGATCACCAAGTGATTCCTTAGTATGTCATGTTACTTCCTTAGTTACTAAGGGAAAATATTGGATTTAGCCCCAAAGAGAAATCCAACCACAATCTCTATCATAAACTCTGGGTGTAATTTGTGGCATCCAGGTAGTGATTTAAAGCTGAAAATAAAGTGTGACATAAAATATAATAGTAAAAGGTAATATATGTAAACATTTCACCCCATTTGGTCAGAATGCAACAGTTTGCTTCCTCTTAGTCCCGGTGCTTCTGCAAAACCAGTGAGTTCTCCTTCCTCCATCTTCCACTCCCTTTCACATTTAGTTGTGTGCATGCATTTTTAAATCAGATGGCCTCTTCATCAGAATTTGGACCAATTTATAATGTCCCGTCTTGGTTATATTACAATTTTTTTTGCAAAGGAAAATCCCACCCACTTATAACATGCTTCTTGCCATCACAACCATACTCAGGATCCATGACCTTGTTATGAGAATAGCAATATAAAACACACCACATTATTTGTGAGGTTTTTGTTCTTATTTTTGATTTTAGTAAAATAAAATATCTTGTCTTGCATTTCAGATGAGTTAGTACATTATTTTACTATTTATTACCTTGAAAAATTGGCTTGCTGATTAGGTGTTTTTCCCAAGAGTGTGTAGCCCTCTTTGTGCATAAATGGGAGCCTTAAGGAATGCTACTCAGCTGCCTCTCTTATTGTGGGTAATCCTTTGCAGCTACAATTGTGTTATTTTTAGCACTAACAAATAGAAATGATGTTCACAGAGTAAGGTCATAGAAAAGTTAAGCACTATGTGAGGTTCACTTCCAACAATAACAGAGGCCTTGCTTGATGCCTTCTGTTGTGGTAGGAAAAAAATACCCTTCATGTTTTCCCCCCTTTTCATTTTTAGTCAAGCGTGCATACTCAGTCCATCTTTTGACAACCTATGATTAGTGCTGTCCAGTTACCCTTCATACATCTGTGCCTGTTTCCAATTTCTTCTTGAAGGAGTTGGTAATAAATATGTGCAAGCCAATTGTGCCATACTGTGTAATTTTCTGTATCCTTTTTCCTGTCCTACTTCTTAATAATATCAACAATCTCATATAGTCATAAAACTTATGTGGTGAACATGTATGCAGTGATACAGATAAACCTGGCAAGAAAAATAAAGACTTTGATCTCTACCCTAACCATGCAGCAAATACCATTTTTGTCCAACATGCTAAAGTTGTTCATTGAGGAAAACTACTATATTGCTGCTTGAGCTAAGCGCTTGCATGATTTGTTCCTTTATCAGAATTGAGTTTTCTGTTGGTCAGTTGCCACCATGTAAAATATACAATGAAAGTCTGCAGAGTGGTTTAGCTATCTTCAGATTCAGTATTTCCAAATACCTTCTTGGGATGTATGTGTATTTTTAGTCTCCCAACTTCTCTGGAAAGTTCATCATTAATTATGTGTACTGTAATCTGAGGCCAGTAAAAACAGATGTGAACAGTTGTTTCCCATCAATTTCATCTGTGTATCTAGAGAAATTTTTAAATTGTAGAAGAGTTATTGGAAAGAGAATTGAAATGCTTTGTCAGTTTCACCCCTACATTGAAGAGACTTCCTTGGTGTCAAGTATGTCAGTTTTACTGTTGTAGTCTGCAGTAAATTTGGGAAATTATATGAAAGAACTGCAAAGAAAATGATCTTCTTTTCTCTCACCTATCAGCAATTATGATAAAAGCCACCTCATCAGAGGTTTTGATCTTTTAATCTTTTAATTTTCCCCTTTGTCAAGGAACTTTTCATGAGCTGCCATAGTTGTTGGGGAGCCATTCCCACCACTGATCTTTGAAGCCTGTACAAACCTTTAAGTATGCTTTACCAATAAACTATTTTAAAACAACAGCAAAAACCCTTTGAATATGATCACACATACAGAAGTCTGGGATGTTCATCAGGATACTTATCAAGCTGAAATATTTACAATAGAAAAAAACCCAGGGAAATTTTACTTTTTGCCCTTCCTGGCATGTGGGTATATCTAGAGCAATTGAATGAGAACACTTTCTCTTAATACTACGAATGGAGGGGTTTGGTGTGTGATCATTTAATGCAAGGGTCCTCAAACTTTTTAAACAGAGGGCCAGGTCACAGTTCCTCAAACTGTTGGAGGGCTGGATTATAATTTGAAAAAAAAACATGAATGAATTCCTATGCACGCTGCAGGTATCTTATTTGTAGTGCAAAAAAAAAAAACACTTAATAATAATAATAATAATAATAATAATAATACAATCATTAAAATAAAGAACAATTTTAGCAAATATAAACTTATTAGTATTTCAATGGGAAGTATGGGCCTGCTTTTGGCTGTTGAGATAGGGTTGTTGTTGTTGTTGTTGTTGTTGTTGTGTGCTTTCTGAGCACAACTATGTTACTGTTACATCCTGAGCGAGGGCCAGGTAAATGACCTTAATGGCTGTATCTGGTCCCCGGGCCTTAGTTTGAGGACCCCTGGTTTAATGACTCTCAAGCACTAAAACAAAACACTGTAAACTGGTTGGGCAACATGTCACACACACACACACAGCCTGAAGTTGTTCTAGGACATTGGTTCTCAACCAGTGGGTCCCCAGGTGTTTTGGCCCACAACTCCCAGAAATCCCAGCCTGAAATTCTCATGGTGGTCCGCGAGAAGGCCTTACTGATGCATTATGTAAACTGTTATGTTTATTCATATCATGATCTGATACCCATACGCAATATATCCCATATGCATGGAGGTATTGGGGTAATGATACAAAAGGTTTGCTAGGATAGACCCTCTTTCGCTCAGACTCAGCCCCCCCCCCCCCACTCTGAATCAAAATCCTGGCTACGGGCCTGCTCCAGGGTAAATGGATTGCAGATACTGAATAATGAGACAAGTACCATCTGCTTTCACTGGGTTAATAAGAGATTTTACTATGTTACTGTTACATCCAGTTGAAACTTTGAATAATTGTAGTCCTTGAATTTCAGTGGGCTTTGGTTCAGGTTTCTTCAATGTAAACTGTGGTCTACAACAGCAAATTAAGAGCTTGAATATATGATATTACAAAATTATATGAAGTATATCCTATGTGGCATATCCTATCCTGGCCATACTATAGTTTACCTCGTGGTTTTGATGCTTGTTCATTCATTCAGTCATTTCCAACTCTTCATGACTTCATGGACCCGTCCACGCCAGACCTCCTTCAAGGTCAATCCAATCACTTCAAGGATACCATTCATCCATCTTGCCCTTGGTCAGTCCCTCTTCCTTTTTCCTTCCATTTTCCCCAGCATCATTGTCTTCTCTAAGCTTTCCTTTCTTCTCACGATGTGGCCAAAGTACTTCATCTTGGCCTCTACTATCCTTCCCTCCTATGAGCAGTCAGGCTTTATTTCTTGAAGTATGGACTGGTTGGTTCTTCTTGCTGTCCAAGGTACTCTCAGAACTTTCCTCCAACACCACAGTTCAAAAGCATCTATCTTCCTTCGCTCAGCCTTCCCTATGGTCCAGCTCTCACATCCATAGGTGACTTTGGGGAATACCAGTGCTTTAACTATGCAGATCTTTGTTGCCAGTGTGATGCAATGTATCTCAAAGTTATACTTTGAATTGGCTTAATTTTATTTATTTTTGCTAGCCCCATGAGGTTTAGTGAGAACAACCAGTTACAAAATATGAGGTTCATTATGGATGCAAGAGAGTCATAAACAATTAAAAGAGATCTATACCTAGAAGCTGAGTTCTTAGCAATTGGTCCAGATACCAAAAAAAAAAAAAAAGAAAGAAAGAAAGAAAGAAAGAAAAAGAAAAAGAAAAAAAAAAATCTTGCTTCAATCCTTAGCCTGCCTTTTGCACTAGCTGTTTGGTTTGTAGACAAGAAGGGTTTACAAATCGGATAGTTCTGAATAGGGATGAGATGTAACTTCAAATTTAA